AGCCTGGCAGATCCAGGCGTCTCACCAGCTGGACTGACCTGCAGGAATGGGGTGCAGATGTCTCGACACTTTTCTTCACCTTAATTCCTCCAGATTTGCAGCACTACGGCATTTTCAAGTGAACAAGACTCTATTATAGAATTCACCACTTTGCTTTAATTAATATTAATCTCCAACTTCATGGAATCTGTGTGTCTCTAAAGAGAAGATGCAAACAGAGGAAAGGCTCTCCTTAAAACCCTCAAGCTGAGAACTCAGGACCTGAAAACAGGGAGAAAACACACTCCTGTTCCTCCCTCCTGCAGCCTCGGCTTTTGCATTCACTTGACAGAGGCCGTGTCTGCCATGGTTGGCACCAAAGGGCCGACCCTGGTGCTCCCACAGCTGCAGGAGGCCACAGGTACCAGTAAATCCAGCTCAAAGGGCCTACAGCCTGAGGGAGAAACGACCCTGGCCCCGCTGGGGGAATATGGGCTGACCTCAGCTCAACCCCAGCACCTGGCCCAGCTGCAAGACACTGTGGCCAGCTCTGACGTGAGCTGGATTTGGCCCTGCTCATCCAGAGCCATCACTGACAACCTGCACGTCCTTGAGAAGAACTGGCCTGTTTGGATCACAGAATCACAGCATGGCAGGGGTTAGAAGGGACCTCTGGAGATCATCTCATCCAACCCCCCTGCTCCAGCAAGGTCACTCACAGCAGCGTGCCCAGGATGCCATCCAGATGGGTTTGGAATCTCTCCAGAGAAGGAGACTCCACAGCCTCTCTGGGCAGCCCGCTCCCGGGCTCTGGCCCCCTAACACCAAAGTTTTTCCGCACATTCAGATGGAACTTCCCGTGTTCCATCCTAAACTTAGCGGGACAAAGATGAGAGATGTGGAGACAGGGAGTTTAAGGGACTTGCACTTTACTTAGCAACTCAATGACCAGTTCCTTGGTGAGGAACAAAACCTCGCCAGCGTTCTGATTCCAGACCTCAAAGACCGGGGGGTCCTCGCAAACCCTCTTCCCGGCGACGACCACGTAGGGATAGCCCAGCTTGTTGGCGTCCTTCAGCCTTTTGCCAATGGTCATCTGCGTCCTGTCATCCAGCACCGAGTCTCCGGCGAGGTGGGGCAGCACTTGGACGAGGTGGTCGTAGACCTGCTCCAGCAGCACGGCCCCCTCCTCCTCCTCCTCCCTGCTGCCTCTCTTGGGGGGTACGAAGCAGACCCGGTAGGGCGCGATGAGGCTGGGCCAGCGGATGCTGTCCTCCGTAGAGAGCACCTCGATGGAGGCCGCCAGGATGCGAGTGACGCCCAGGCCGTAGCAGCCCATTTCTGCCAGCTGGGGTTTGTTCTCGGCGGAGTAGAAGACGGCGTTGGAGACGGAGGAGTACTTGGTACCCAGATAAAACGTGTGCCCCACCTCGATCCCTCTGGTGTGAGTTAATCTTTCCCCACACGTGGGGCAAGACGTTTGCCCCTCGTCCAGCGTTTCCACGTTGGCCGCAAAATGCCCCTCGGGGCACA